CTCACCGTAACTGATGTGGCGGCACGTGGTATTGATATACCAAGTTTGGATTTCGTGGTCAATTTTCATTTCCCAGGAAAGCCAAAACTGTTTGTCCATCGTGTGGGACGTTGCGCGCGCGCGGGACGTACCGGCACTGCTTATTCAATTTTTTCTACTGATGACGCTGCTCACGTTTTGGATCTACATTTATTCCTTAATCGTCAATTCAATATAAATGATAGTAAAACTGTTGGTGTTGCACCACAGGATTTGTTGGAGGAGGAACATCTATCTGTTACAGAAGTCAAGAAAAGTCATGATATTGTGAGTATTGTGAGGTTCCATGAATCCCTGCATTTTTGAATATGAATAACTATTTCTTTAATTTTTTTTAAGGCCGGTGTGTTTCGTACGAGTGAAAACGCGTATAAAAAGTATTTATCGTCACGGCCCGTGGCCTCAACAGAATCAAACTCTCGTATAAAAAAGATTAAGTTTTATAGTTGCAAGCCTTTGGATGATTTCTCGTCGGTTGAAAAATCAGAAAGTTTGAGTAGTGAAAACCAAATGAAATCGAAGGAAGAAGCAGCGTCAGAAGAACGTAAGTTGCAAGAAGAAAAGCATGACTTGTTGATGAAAATGCGAAACTTTAAACCCTCTACAGTAAGTGCGAATATAAAGAAACTTTACGTTTTGAAATAAAATATTGTGTTGTTTATTCCATCTTAGACGATTTTCGAGTTAAATCGCCATCAAAAATCTGTTCCGTTCACTACAATGAAAGAAAAGCGGTCGAAACATACAGAAGTTATTGAGAAATATAGGAATAAAATGGTTGAAATTGAAAAGGAGGAAGCCAATAAGCAATTAGAAGAAGAGGATAAAGAAGAAGTAGTTTTAAAATGATTCTTATAGTCTATATATCCGTTCAAATTTTCAATAATCTTATTTTAGGCAGATGAAGCTGACGCAGATGATATTAATGCAGCGTTTGACACAATAGTCGCTCCAAAGAAACGAAAGAACCTGGAAGACTTGTATAAGAATAAAAAGAAAAAGAAGAAGTCCAATGTTAAGGACGCTGAGAACTATATCCCATACCAGTCTGCAGACAAACACACCGAGGATGGCCTTGCCATTAATACCTTCGAGCGACAAGCCATGAATGCAGAATTCTCTGTGGTCGATCGTGACAGCAATACGGACATGCGCCACAAGCCAGGCATGAAAAGATGGGATCGAATTAAGAAGAAAATGGTGTCTGTCCAAGATCCACGTGCTAATAAAATACGTTCTGAATCGGGTGCCTGGATTCCAGCCTCTTTCAAGACTGGCCGCTATAATGACTGGAAAGAAAAATCAAAAATCGAAGAACAGTTGCAGCGTGAAAACGACAGCGATGACAATGGATTCAAACCACTTCATCAGTCACAACGTTATCCTGTTGGACGTCATGCGCGTCACAATGCAAAGGTGGCGGTCAAGAAGCGAACAGGTGGTGGCGAGAATGAACTGCGTCATCCTGAACAGATAGTAAAGGCGCGTATGCGTTTAGAATTTATCAAGAAGCGTAATGCAGAAAATGCATTGCGTAAGGCTGAGAACAGGAAACGCAGTATGCGGAAATCTCAGCGAACCAAGTCAAAGAAAGGTGGCAAGAAATAGTGGAAAATCGAGATGAGAGTGTAGTTGAAAAGATATTAGGGCTATATGTATGTGGTATCTATAGTGTTTGGTAGGTTATCCAATAAAATTCTAGATTGAAGCGCTGTTACAGAATACAAGAACATATACAAAAAATTGAGTACCCTTCTAATGTGTTTTTATTATAAAGAATGTAAATAAATGTGGAGTTATATATTCTCTATTAACTAAAAAAATTTGTGCATTTTTCCTAATCTAGCTTCGAAAAAGTATTTATATCAAAAACAAGTTTTAAAAGTTTTAATAACATAGTTATTAAATTTGAGATCCGAATACAAATTCACCTTTAATTTGTATTTGTAAGGTTTAATTTTTTATGGAAATGGCAGCCCTAAACAATCAGCTGATAATTTAACTACCAGTAGATGGCGCGCGCGTTGATTTCATATGAAAAATTTATTTGACATTACATATCTGTGCGGGAAGACGTGTTTTTTATTTCTTCCTGAGTTCTATCAGTTCTGTTTGTGCATAAATTAATAAATTTGGCCGAAAATACGACAAAAGCACATAGGGGCTTCCAGCAGTGATAACGTGTCGGCTGCGCGAATTATTATTTATACGCGAGTGTTAATTCTCAGCGAAATCGGTCCGTTGAAAAAGTGAACTCCATGGCAGGTCATCTATAATTACAAGAAGAAAAAAAAGGAAAACATTACCGAGGCCAAACAAAATCGCCGCGCAAATAATTGTTCGGATTTCGTTTCTTTGTGTCTGAAAATAAAAATACTATGTAAAGCGAAAAATTTCACAATTGATTAACGTCACAGGCACTACAACCTCCGGCCATTCCACGAAGACTGCCTGCGGGTAGGAAGGAAGAGCAACCCCGATTTGCAAGCATAGCTGCTGCGCACAGATCCAAGGGCAGCTGAATCATGCAGGCACCAACCACTGCGAAAAATGCCTAATCGTTTAGTTCATACCCACAGTGTTTGTCCAAGTAATAAAGAATAAATTTATTTTGTGCGCGTATGCAAATTAATTCCAAATCAGGCAAATTAAAATTGCAAATATTCGCCAACTTTTTATATCAAAAGTGTAAACGCAACTTGTGTTTAGCGGGCTGAAGTTAACCAAATAATGGATAGCTCAATGGTGTTGGGTGTATTTCGCAACGCGAACGTCGGAAGTGCCGCCGATACAGACAACGACATGGATATGGATGATATTGACGCTATGTTTCGAGCTTCAACAGTCGTCGATTTATCATCCACAACGACTTCTGCGCCTAATACCGATCCATCAGTTTCAATGAACAACTTTTATCCTGCATTGGTACAATGTTTCGGCATAATTATTTGTGGGTGAGTAGGTACATATTTTACAAATACAGTGTAGGCGGTGAGCTTTCTTCCGCTGCTAGTTAAGAGCTCATTGATAAACCCCGACGTCGCAATTGTTTCCGGTGCTTTATTATTCCTCAAGTTCATTTTGCTACACGAAACTAGGCATAAAAGAATTAATCTGTCGAAAAATACATAAATATTAGACATACCAAAATACATTTTGTGCATACCTACATTAACTCTTCGACTGCTTCTGTTACTTCTTTAACTTTAATGTGCATCTTGATGTTTTCATAAAAATATAGTTACATTTTTTATGGTAACCTATGTATATTATCTATATATTTTGACCTGACACTATATGTATTCCAAGTAAGAGTCCTAAGAACTCTGCAAATGCTAGAACCAACACTGCTAAATATACCGCTTTCGACAGAATAGCCCTGTTTCAGGTACTTCACGAGTTGCAAGTTTTACAGGATTTACAAGAAAAGCTGTTTTCGCCATTAATAAACCTTATGAAAGGTGGCGACCTGGAATAGCGTCTTTTAAAAACCGGCAAAGGCTTTAGAATACAACATAATTTTTAACCGACTTCCAAAAATAATGCGTCTAAATACCGAACACCGAATACGGGACAAATACAGGACATTTAAAGAAATACAGAATTTGGCGTCCCGTATTAAATAATTAAATTACCAGGACATGGGTCAAAAAAGAGGACTATCCCGCGTAATACAGGACGGATGGTCACCGTAGTTATGATTGATGTTTCATGAGCCGGTAATGTGAACCGACAACTAAATGGTTGCAAGACAGACTCCAAACCACACGACCACGACGACGGAATTCGGTCTAATAAGCGGAAAGCCCCACTTCTTTGTCTGGCCAAGGACTATCTCTCCAGCTAATTCCGCAAAAACTATTTATGGTGTTACAACAAACACAACCAAAACGGTATTCGTAAGGGCATTCGTATTAAACGTCTAATCAACACGTACACAAGAAATGTCCAGTTATTTCTATTTCCAGCCAGCAAAATATCCGGAAACATTTCGAGAAATTTCATCCGTTTTCTGATTCATTCTTTCTGTCGTTTTTTCGGATCCATTCTTCTACTAAAGTGTGCAGTCCAAACGTATGTCTTGAAAAATACTGAATATGGTTGTGAAACGGATACGTTTCGGCTGTTTTTCTGACTAAATTTTTTGTTGGAAACCCTTTCATTCTGAAACTCACAGATGTTATTATAAAACATAACTTTTTCGGACGTTTTGCGATTACGACAAATATACGCAAATATTAATTCACCTTGTCGTTTACTGTACATTTTCGGCCACGAAGAAGGCACTGTCGGCAAAACGTACATTTCTCTGCTGGCTGGGTATCTATCCATACTCACAGTTACCATACCCAGTCGATAAATTCAGGAGTTAAAAGCCTTTCCAAAATGCCTTACTGAGAGACAATAGGCCATCGACTTTGCATTCCTTTCTCCTTTCTCTTTTGTATGGCGTGGCACTAAATGAAAATCTTCTGCTTTCGCTACCTATAGTAGGGCTATAGTATACTTCTCAGATATATTTGTTTAAAGTTCATACCAAATTTAGTTTATTACATCTTTAAAATACACACTAAAATTCGTTTGTATTGCTAAATACTTAATATGAACTTATAAATTCGCGTAAATTTTAAATAGGAAAAGTCCTCCTAGAAGGAAAGCAGAGAATCACTTGTTTAAACCCTTCTAGGATAACCCTTTTAGAATGGCTTCACTTAAGAAGGCCTATCTAAATTATCTTCTGGGTATATTAAGTAGGTGGTTGACGCAGATATTTACTGGAAATATTAAAGTAATGTTATCGCACTTATCGCTCTACGTGATGGCACCATCAAAAATTAAGAAAAACGAATTCCATTTACTTTCAAAAATAATAATTTTTTATTTATAGAAAAGCGTTTGCGAATTTAATTAAACATTTTTGTAAAAAACTGTTGAAACAAATTTAGAAAGGAAGTTATGAAAAAAAATATTTGCGGTCATGTAGTGTGATAATCCGGAGACGAATTTTCAGAACGAAGGCGCTGCAGATTGCTTTGCTACACAATACGTACTTTATTGTTTCTCTTCTCATTGCCTCTGCTTAGTAGGAACTGCTGTAGCTGAGAACTTAATTGCTTCCATATTCCTGGAGGATATGGCCTTTCCTTTGATAGAACCCTCTTATCAAAATTTAGTAAAGCCGGCATAGTTTTTGAGAACCATGCCACCGTCCTAAATGTTACAATTATCTTAGGATTCTCAAGCTGCATCAGATACTTCATTTCGGCGATGCGAGTTTTTGGTGGCACTGAGATTTGGTGGGATTGATATTGCTTCATTGTTATATTTATAGGCTGGAGATATTTTGTTTGCGAATATCGTAATAGCATATATGTACATATGTTCCTGATGATGTCCGCAAAGTGGGGTGCTCTTCACTTTCCTGTAGCGAGTGAGAAGCCGACGAAACACTATCTTCTCTTCCCTACTTGTGTAGGTTCCATTTCAAAGCCTACACTGCTTACTGCTCTTTCTCCAGCCAGGGCATTGTGAAGGCCCAGATTTGTCTAAAAAAGTGACTAGGGTACCAAAAGTAGCATCGGCTTGAGGGAAAAGAAATTATATCAGGGAATATGAATGACTCTTTGTTGTGGTTTCTAGGCATTTGTAAAAAAACTGATTTCTAGAATTATTAATTACTAGCAGAGTAATACAAGTGTTTCTTCTTTTGTACTTATTAAAAGTAGCAAACAACTGCGTATGTTTTTTTAATTAGATTCATTCGATGGCGCTACTCACTACGAGAATTTTATAACTGTCTTGTTGTAATTGAGACTTATATCATGACTTACAGCCAAAACACCAATTAAATACCACATTTCTCACAAGATTGCGGCATGTCGTACAACATTTCACATTATCGGGGCTTGTTATCTAAGTACAAACGGAGTAATATCTCTTCTTACTTACATACATATGTACACGTTGACATCTAGTACTTACATTTGTGAATCATTTTAATTAGATATTTGTAAATAATTAGTGAAAATATATAAAGTACAGCGGTTATCAAACTTGGCAACTAATCGATGGAATTTGCATACATACATACACACATGCAAAGAAATAAGTACATCTTGTTTTGATTATAAAGATTTTCTTTATTTTAAATTACGAGAATTACAATAAAAATAAGGATAATAAGGATTACTCTTGTATACAATTGATTTATGTCAAACATAGTGAGTAATAAATAGCTTGACTGACGTGAGGTATGTATGTAGAAAACGCGGAAAGTTTACTAAGCAAAGCTCCCCATAGATCTTAATTAGGTTAAAGGCACCACCTTTTCGTTGCTTGATATGAATTCAGTAAATCCTTATTATTATTTNAACATTTCACATTATCGGGGCTTGTTATCTAAGTACAAACGGAGTAATATCTCTTCTTACTTACATACATATGTACACGTTGACATCTAGTACTTACATTTGTGAATCATTTTAATTAGATATTTGTAAATAATTAGTGAAAATATATAAAGTACAGCGGTTATCAAACTTGGCAACTAATCGATGGAATTTGCATACATACATACACACATGCAAAGAAATAAGTACATCTTGTTTTGATTATAAAGATTTTCTTTATTTTAAATTACGAGAATTACAATAAAAATAAGGATAATAAGGATTACTCTTGTATACAATTGATTTATGTCAAACATAGTGAGTAATAAATAGCTTGACTGACGTGAGGTATGTATGTAGAAAACGAGGAAAGTTTACTAAGCAAAGCTCCCCATAGATCT